AAATATTTATTTTGTTTACATTAACTGTCTGCGCATTTTCTTTCAACCTTCACACACAAGGCCATATAGACATATGGTGAAATACGATGTTGTCGTAAGAATACCACCATAAGTTAAATGCCATTTTGGAATTTGATTTCGACACATTTGCTAGAAATACCGCAATGTACAAAGGTTGGTTTTTGATTGCTCAAGTTTAACTTATATTTTTTTCTTACTTGAATATTCCTGCGAATTCAAAAGTGAAATTTACCTTTTCGGCGATATTTATCACTTGCCCAATCAGGCATCGAATTTAACTAACTTTTCGAATTCTCTCAATTACTGTTTGTGAAGTCATTCACTCGCATTATTTTTTCGTTTTTTTTTTTTTGTTTTATATAGTAAAATAACTCAATGTAAAGAAGTTTATTTATTTTTAAGATCCAGTTTTTGTTTCTAGCTGTGTTTGTTTCCGTAAGACAGTAAAAACGGCAAATTACAGGAAGATTTTTGTTAGCACGATTCCGTTATACTCTGTCTTGAAGAATAAAGCAATTTCCCGTAAATTTGCAACTTAATAAAAAGTGTTGTGTCTATGTTCGCGCTTGCCCCGATAATAATGATTAATATTTTGTACGTTTTATTTTGTGGTTGTTATAAAAGCTGAAAATACAATTATATCAACATTGAAAGTGGAATTGAAATAAAAATTACTTGCATTATTTACATTATTCGTACTCTTATCCTCATCTTCATTGCCACATTCACAACGTTTCGATCGTTGTACGCTCCGGCCTTCTTCAGGTAATTGGAATTTCGAACCGAACCCTTTATTTCGTCCACCTGGGTAGATTGTTCTAGTTCCACGTGCTATGCCTCTTCTGGATGTCTCAGTTATTTCCCTTTAATTCAACTGCCCAAGTTTTTGGTTCACCACTGCTCTGGCCTGGTATTGAACTCACAACTCTTTGGGTCTAGTCACTGAATCTAACCAACGTCTTTATCCACTGGGACATGTGTCTTTGAAATAAAAATGATTATTAATAATGTAGGGTCAGCATTCACACTCACGACTGATCTGATCTGACTGATGTTTGTTACATAAAGCTGAAAAGTAGGCATCTTGCCCACCAAAAACAAAAACAAAAATAAAAATAAATAGTGATACCTAAGACTGAAATCATTTTTAAAAAAAATAAAAAACATATTTCTTGAGTATTTAATTTTAATTTCAAGCTAATAGATTAAATTGTACGAGAGGTAGTCATAAATTATCCGCACTCTTAACACAGATATTTTATGGCGAAGGTGCAGATAATTTTTTAATGATTCTAGTATATTTCCAATAAACAAAATACTTTAATGTATTTCAAACCGAATTTAAGTTGATTGAAAAAAATTGTTTCTACGTATCAGTAAAATCAATGAATTCATCCATATTGACAGATATGTCAGCACAAAAGAATTCTCTCTATCAAATGTCTATCAAAAATAAAATATGTTTCCTGAAACATTATTCGAGGAAAATTAGCTGAATTAAAGTTTAATCAATCTGAATTGAAATAAATATTAGTTACTTTTACTTTAATATACCACAGAAAAGCAATATTTTTACACGGTGGAGTGTTTTTCCGACGCGTTGAGAGATTTCTTGACAGCCGAACATTTGAGAAATCTAAGGGGAACAGAACCTTTATAAATTACTTGAAAAATACAACGTAAACACTTTTTCTATATTTTTTTAAAATTACCCAGTAATCTTAAAAAATTAAGAAAATATTTTTAAGCATTCAAATATTTTATGGAATTTTAGGTACTTTGGCTTTACAGCGTTATTTACGTAGATGCTTGTTAAGAAAATGTTGGAAAATTACCAATAAATTTATAATTTATAAGCAGTACCACTTTTTTTCTGATAATGTCGTGTATGGACGTCCGTATTTACAAAAATCGACACGTTTATATACCAACAAGAATTAACGATTATTTTTAAGATAATTCGGGTTGTTGAATTGTAGTGTGAGGTTTTTATTTATGATTATTAAATACAGTTTTGATTTAATAACAATATCGTTTGGCAGCTACAAATTAATACAGAATTTAAAAAAAATTTAAAGTTTATAAAATTATTCTAATTCTAAAATTAAAAAAGGAAAACAATTCTTGTAAAAATTCATTATTCATCGAAAATGTGTGTCTCTATATATTTTAGCGTCCTTTATATATTTCACGCATAAAAGTAAATTAAGAGCTTTTCTAATTAAAAATATCTTATTTTTATTACATTTTTTATTTTTCGATTTAAGGTAGATTTTCTTCAACTAGTAGTTCTGGTTTTGGCCAAAACATTTTGATGATTTAAATTCTCCGAGGACTTGTGCTTATAACTAACATAAATATTCAGCGGTACAAAAAATAATTTTTCGAAATTTCATAGAAATTAAATTCGTATAGAGAGGGAGTAACAGATGCAAAAAAAAAAAAAAAAATATATTTTTACATAGGTTTTCTAAAAAATAGAGGCGTCTAAATATAATTTAATTTCTGAATAAGTTATTAAAGTTGCGTTAAAATCCAAATTTCTAATTTTTGCAAGAATTTCCAAATAAATGTGTTCTTTTACAAAAAAAACAAAAAACAAGAAACAAACAAAAATCAAAACAAAAAATGTTCAAATTTCCCGTATGAATTTAAGGTCCACCTTTGACGTAAAAAACTCCCAAAATATAAAAAAAAAAACACAAAAAAAACAACACAAAATAATGCTAAAAACCATGATTTTTAACCAAAATTTCCAAGATTCTAAAAAGGATAAAAAGAAATAATTTTTACATAAAAAATCCTTTGATCTTTCCTCTTAATAATAACACACAGATTTTGATGATAAATGTTTGATTTTTTATGTTCTGGACATTATTTCTTCATCTCCTTTTTAGTGATTCTTTGGCGGTATCTACTGAAAAGAGAATAATATCAACGTTAAAAGAGAAAAAGAAATAAAAAGAATTTTTTTTTCTTTTCCTCTTTTATCATAACCATTTTTACACTTTATTGCCATTTCTATTCTAGTAATAAATTCTTTTCTTATTGCCAGAGATTTTTTTATACAGGAATTACAACATGAAGACAAAATCTTGTGTCTAAACAGTAAATGATGTTCGTTTTCCTGAGTTCAT